GGTATTTACCGATTTTTTTTTTAGAGTTTTATTTTTTTTTTTTTTTAAAAAAAAAGAACCCTTTTTTTATTTTATTTTATTTTATTTTATTTTATTTAAAATTTTTTTCTTTGTTCTTTTACTTCCTTTCTTTGGTATATAATTTTTTCCCATAATGATTTCTTCTTAACCGACACACCCGATGTATCCGACTACAAAATCTCCCCGCGAGGAATAAATATATAAAAAGGTCCATTTTCTCACTGTTCCCGTTACACCCCGTTACACCCCGTTACACATGAAAACATTGAAAAAAGAAAATTTTCTAACCAAGGAAGTGTTCCGTTTATTCTTTTTTTAGTTTAAATCCAAAAAAAAAAAAAAATTTTTTTTCGGAAAAATAATTTTTTTTTTATTAACCAATAATAATAAAATAATACGGTTGGGCGTAAAAAAAAAATTATTATAAGCACATAGATAGGTTCGTGTAAAAAAATCAAATGTTTATAAAAAAAAAAAAAAAAAAATTTTGATCTCGTGAAATTTCGTGTTTCAGTAAATATTTTTCAAACAAAAATTTTTTGATTATCCGTTAGGGTTTTATCTATTATATCAAAAAGAATGAATGAATTTAAAGTTTTTCTCATTCGTTCTTCTAAAATATAAGAGGATTGATAAGTAGATGATATAGATGAAAAAATCAAAATCATTATGTAATATAATTAAATATCATAAATATATATATATCATATCATTTCCATATAGTTGGAACCTTAATGAAAACCCTTTCATTCGACTCATTTTGGTCATTTCATTCATTATTAATACAACCAATTTAATTCCTATTTATGAATCATATGATTAAAAACAATTAACTATTATTTTGGATTAGCTTGAAATTTTAATTTTTTTTACAATCAAGAAATTAAACAAGAAAGAAAAAAAAAGAAGAGAAAAAAGATTATATATAATTAGTTAAGATCTTTCTCCTTAAAAGGAACAAGGTTTTTTATCCAATAAACCTATAATTAGCGTAATAAATAGTAATAAATAGTAATAAATTGTAGTAATAGATGGTAATAAATTTAATAGATTTAATAAATTTAATAGATTGTTGTAATAGATTGTAATATAGAAATAGACAGTAATAGTAATAGATTGTAGTAATAAATAGTAATAGTAATTAATAGATTCATTAGATTGTAATGATTGTAATAATACTTTAATAACTTTAATAACTTTAATGACTTTAATAGTAATAATAAATACCCGCAATAAAAATACCCGTATATAAAAATATCATACTCATACGTAATTACCCGATATTCTCGTAATAATCGTAATAATAGTAATAACAAATACCATAAATATCGTAATAATAATAACCGTTAACAATAAATAGTAATAATAGTTATTATTAAATCGGTTTCATAAATTCAAATAGTTTCAAATAGTTTCAAATGTTATAAAATGTTTCAAATTTTAAAAAACTATAATTTTTTTAAAGTATTCATTATAGTTATATTATTTTAGGTAAGCGTAAATAAAATATAATTGAATGATTTGAATGATTGAATGATTGAATGATTGAATGTCTAACAACTCTCCAAAAATATATATTTTATTTCGTACACAACATAAAAAATTATTCCGTTATATAAACTTGTGTAAAATTACACAAAAAAAATACAATATTTGATAAAAATAATATTTATTGTAAAACGATTAAAAAACAACAACTAACAACTAACAACTAACTAACTAAATAACTAAATAACTAACAACAACAACAACAATAAACAATTTTTTTTATTTTTATTTTTATTTTTATTTTTTTTTAATTTATGTTTATATATGTATATATGTATATATGTAATATGTTGTAAATGTTGTAAAATGTGTGTACATAAAAGTATTACAGTTTTATTGTTAAACCATACTAATAAATCCAATAATTGAAAGAAAATTAAATTTAACTATATTAAGATAATTAAAAATTTTTTTTTTTTTTTTTTTT